CCCTCCCTTCCCCACCTCCGCCGCCCCCGCGGGCGGGGCGAGCCGCCACCAACATCCTCAGTACATTCGCCGCCGCGTTCCGACCGCTCTATAGCGGAGCAGCATGGGCGGCTGGGCGGCGGCGGCGGCGCCTTGCCAAGCGGATGAGATTCCGCGCGCGAAAAGAAGCTTTAGCCGGGCCCGGGACCCCTCTCGCAACCTTGAACGCATACGTTCAGGAGAGTCAATGGGGCTCTGGGAATAGCAGCGCGGGCGCCGGCGCCACCGCCACCGCAACAGGGGCGCCACACTCGGCTTCCATCATACACCCCGCACCACAACTGCCACAACCACACACCGCCACAATCAAGTTATTACTAGAAAATTTGCAGAGTATAGTATGCCTTGTGTTATGAGGTAAAAGTTTAGAAACAATCAATAAAAATAAAAATATGATTCATAAGTTACGAAAACAGCAGAAAACTTTAGTACGTAACTAGGCAAATTTTCTAGTAAAAACTTGAAGAGCGCGCTTCGCTCTTTGCACTGTGCACAGTCATCCACGGTTGATGATGACGATTATATGATAACACCATCCATATGGCGTTGCGATGTCCAAAGCGGACGTAAGTACCTATAGCACACTCTGGGACACGGCGCACGGCGGTCAGGTTCTTCCCGTCGCGGAGTACCGCACCGCCCTGCCCCGCCCCTTTCGCGCAGGCGGGGGGCCGCGGCCGGCCGGGGGGCTCAACACGATCAATACATTCTGCTGCGCGTCTTCCGCGGCTGGACAAACCTACCTCACACCCCTACCTCACCCATCCCCTCCCCTCTCGCTCGCACTCACAGAGGCTTCGTGTATCGCACGACCTAAGATTGCAGAGGTCGATCGAGGACTCGAGTCGCGCGCCCTATAGCGGAGCGCGGCGCGAAGGTGCCAATAGATATGGCGGGCGGTAGCACATAGGTCGAATGGTGTGGACAGATAAGTCTTTCTCGAAGCAAATGCAAAATAACAAGTATCCGAGGCAGGAAAAAAAAATATCTACCGTGAGTAAAGTACACGTTATACACTGCCACAAGCACACATAGATAGACACACGTTGTGGGGATAAGAGGAGGAAAGGGGGGAGGGGCATAGCCTTGGCGATACGGCGGCCGGCCCGGGTCCGCCACCACACGCCCTAGATAAGCACAGCCTGCTCGCTCGTAGAGCACCGGCCGCCGCCGCCGTCGTCGTCGTCATCCAATTCCGAGAATTACCGCCTAACACAAAAGCGATCGACACTGACTGGTCGCGCCATGCGCCATGTAGGTTGGCCTCCCAGCCCCTGGCCGTCAAAAACGTGTCGGACGACAGACTCTACGCGCTTCCTCCCATACTTTTGCCCCTACTAATACTTCCCTCACCAGGTTGAGCCGTACTCTGCCATTTCCTCTTTTAATTACCGATGCATTGTGTTATACTTTTTTTTTCAGCGGTCCTTTCAACTAATTATTCAATTTAATCTCGAGTAGGGCCACCAATGAAAAAAGCCTCCCGGCTGTGACGTTACTCCTTATCGGGCGGCGTGTCGTGGCAGCGCGAGGGCGTTAACCACGCTCCACGCATGTGTGAAGACAGCGGGCCCGTGAACTCGCACACACACACACACACACAGATGCACGGGGCGCGCCTGGCAAAAATAAAGACATCATGGCGACAATACGTCGCGGTGCGTGGCAGCGTGCGCTGTAACGTGACAAGCGCGCCGACAAACGTCACGAAAATAGCGCTGTCAAACAGACTGACGAGAGAGAGAAAGAAACAAAGAGAGAGATATTTTGAGGGCACAAAGCCGCTGCTTTTCTTTCCAATTGTATATAGGACGCTTTACTCATATTTTGGGCGCTTTTAGATTGTCCATCACATCGCTGCTGTGTTTGTGTTTCGCAAGACTCGTCGTGGGGCATTATAAAGACCGTGTCGAAAAACAGAAAGAAAAAACGAACGATAACGATAATTTGATCCCTGATTTATTTCACCTCGAGTAGCCGACAAGCACACACGCGTATAAGTGGTCGAGTAGGTACATGTGTGCGAATGTGCAATAAGCGCGCGCGCGCGCGTGCGTGCGTGCGTGTGTGTATGTGTGTGTGTGTGTGTGCCGGTGTGTGCTGAGCTTTGAATATAACTCGGATCAGGAGTATCGCGACAATGAGAGCACTGAGAGGAGTGCGTCATGACCTCATTACGGTTCATACGCCGGACGCTTGCACTGCTCACTTGCATCCTGGTGGTGGTGGCGGACTTGGCCGGCACGACGGTCGCCATCGCTCACCCACAGAGGGAAGGCCGCCGCGGCACATTTCACAACCCCCCGACTTACCCCTTCCGCCGCCGCCACCACCACCCCAACGCGGTGCAACACAACACACCAGGTGATCCCTCCCCCATCATCTCTCACGTTGCCAGCCCCACACGCGACACAAAGAGAGAGAGAG